GGGGGGGGCACACACGCACACACACACACAATTATATATATATATATTAAGTTTGGTACTGTTTTAGTGCCATTTTATCCTTCAATATCCTTGGAGTAAAACTAACGAGGTATTGTAAACCTTTCTGTCAGGGAGCAGCTAAAGTGTCAATTTTAATGATTGGACAACAAGCTATTATGGATGCTTATCTTTGTCTTTTACATCTAACTGCAGGAATATTGGTTGGTAAGTCTCATGAATGATCAGTGTCCCTGTATTAGTATATAGTTCTGGAGTGTCCCCATATCTGTGCAAGCTTCTTTACCCTTTAATGCAATTTGGCATTTTGGCTGAATAATTTTATTTAGTGCAGCTAGTGGATAAATTCAGTTTTAGGGCCCAAGTGGGGGACTGTTGGGTTAAAGATTGAATCAATTTTTTATACAACTCTCTTAACTCATTAATTATGATTGCTTATGATTCATCTTCTAAACAGTTAGAGACTGCAATTGGAAAGCCATAAGAAAGAAGAACCCCTTGTCCCATTTAACCAATTGACCCCAAAATTTCAATGTATGTATTCTGGAACAATCCCGTTAAGCTGATTATTGTCATCTTCCCATTAGTGAAATTTAAATATACATATGTTTTGTATAATAATAAAGTAAACAAACATATAAATAATATATAATATGTCAATGCATAAAAAAAATACATGCCACTTTCAATTTGTTTGCTGCAAGATTTACAGCAGTGCAAATTCCCAGTGACCATATAAAATTTAGTCTGAGGTTTGTAGTGAATAAGAAACAAGAGATAGGAATAAAATTTGGCAAATACAATGAGGATAACTCTCTGAGCTATGGAAGAACATACTGGAAGAATGAAAAAAGTCATTGAATAGGGATGATTTTTCAGTGCATTTCTTTTTTTTTTCTTTTTTATTTTTAACTGGTTAGTTTCAACAAGATCCAATCATAACTTAGAAATTTGGAGAGTCACACCCATACATAGGAGGTTAGGCCTCTTCCAAAAGAATGGACTTCTAGACTTCCTTAAAGTTGATCCATGTCCAACTTTATGAACTATCCTTAGGTGCATGATAACATTTTACCCCTTATCTGGGTGGTGATTTGATGGACTGGCCCAAATTGAGATTTCTAGATTGACAAGATTCTCATTGAAGCAGCTAGTATAGAAGTCTTCTCTCTCCTCCCAAGTCATCATTAGTACCCCTAGGTCCCTTCCTTTCAATTAAGCGCATAATCACCCAATGCCAGAAACTGTCTGCTGGCCCTAGGGGTTTGCAAATGGGTAGGTTCTAACTGGAACTGACCTCGAACTGGCCTTGAACCGACCCTACCCAATCTGTTACAGGGTAGGGTCTGGTTCCAAATTCTTGGAACCGACCCCCACCCAGGCCAGTTCCAGGGTCTAGGGGTTTATCCTATCTGAACCGACCCAATGAACTGGCCTTGGTGGAACCTGCCTTGGAACCAAACTTGCTTTGAAATAAACCCCAGGATGCTTTTGGGGATGTGAAGATTTGAACCCAAGCATTCATGGTTACGAAGGCCATGGTTTCACTTGACCATTTGTTTTCATTTTAATATTTGAATGTGTACAATAAGTAAAAGGTAATATTTACAAAATTTAAATTTAATTTATAAGTTTTTAATTTTTTGTGAAGGGGGAGGGTAAAGAAAGTACAGGTTCCATGAGTAGACCCTGGAACCGGCCCCGGAACCATCAAGACCAGAACCGGCCCTGGAACCGACCTTCACAGGGTATGTTCCGGTTCCAAAAACCTAGAACCAACCCCTGCAGGGTAGGTTTCAGGTTCTGCCATGGAACTGAACCGAACCGGCCCATGCTCACCCCTGGCTGGCCCCCTCCCGTGATAAAGGGTCTGCTAAGGAGTTTGCAGACCTAGGCACCCAAAACAACTCACTTTGTAAGACCTGAACTAGAGATCTGGCTTCTCTAATTTGGTTTCTAAGCCTCCATGGAGCCCCTTGACAATGTAATGATGGTTCTGGGGTCTCCTTCAATGATCAACTCCTTGAAGTCTGATGTGCTAGCCAGCCTTAGACCTTGGAGAACTGCCATTTACTCTGGTACATGTGCACCAAGAAAAAGTTGCTGTGTATGCTTTTATACAAATTTCTCATTTAATTTTTTTGAAACTATTTTCTTTCTCGTGGCTCTTCTGTAATGGTTTCTGCTGATGTTTAATACATTAAGTAAAATTTGCTGCTGATGTTTCCATGCAGAATCCTTGTTCAATGCTTTTGCTACAGCTGCTTTTTTCAAGTTTGTTGTCTTCTCCATTTTTGAGATGAGGTATCTTCTTGCAATATGGAAGGCAAGTAGGCCTATGAATAATGGAGAAGGTTGGGAGACAATGAGACGTGAACTGTCAGTTCTTTATAGCCGTTTCTGTAAGTAGTGTTGCTGAATATGAAGTATTATTTTTGTGATTGCATGTGGCATGCATCCTACCACATTCAGTAGCCATAATCTGTTTTAAACTAAATACATAATGATTCATTTTATTACTCCTCTCCCATCAAAAGAGACAGAGAAATAAAGAAAGAAAAAAGAATACCTCATGCACATTATGCATTTTTGGTTTGTTTATAGAAAACATATCTTGTCTCTCCATTTTTATATTTGAGGATGAAATATGTTGAAAAATATTGTTAGATGAGGCCTTTGGAATAACTCCAAACTGTTCACTATTATTCTGTTTCAAGCATGTAGACAAGAGATGCAGATCATGCAGTTAACACTGAAAAGATATTTATTTTGATAGTAAAAAGAAAACTTCATATAGAAAGGAAAAGGTATACAAAAATACAAGCTTTGTGGCCCAGGCACCATCAGAAGACTCAACAACCTTAGTAACTCAACACAACTCAGTCACACAGGCAAACAAAAGAACAAAAGTGCAACCAAATTCTTCAATAGAAACACAAAACCCTACATCTAACCAAATGCAAACCCAAAATATCGTAATTGGAACAACTCCCGTTCACTCTAATCTGACTCCTCATCCACAAAATCATGATCAGACTGCAAAACATGATCTTCATTCAAGGTGCCCAAATTGAAGCACTTTTTTCCCAATTCCATAAAGGTTTTCCTAGCAAAGTCCTCTCTGCCCCCCCAAAACCCAATCTCTTTCTAACATTTTTTTAAAGAATCATAATAAGAAATTTCATTAAAACCCTTTTCTCTCTTTCTAACTTGAACTTCCTTATCAACAAATCCGTCAAAGCACAGTTTACCTTTAACTTGAAATATTTCAGACTCTGAACCATTGATAATACATTAATGCTCTTCCATCAGATTATCCATGTTTTTGTCTGACACAGCCACATTAAACTTTGACATTCCTTTAGGTCTTTCCAAATTTGGACAAGCATCTCGCTCCTCTCCATCCTTGAAGATTTGAATTGCATTTTCAGAATTCATGCTCTTGTCATAAGCGTTCGCCATCTGACTTGTTGGTGACCCTCTATCAATTAACTTTGAAGAGGGTCTATCTCTTCTGACTTCCTTCTGTTTGTACACTTTTTTAAAACTTTTAGAAGGACCTGATTCCCATTAACCTAATTTGATTTGAGAAAAAACATTAGTGATGAGATTCAGTTGACCACTTTTAGAATCCTTAAATCTTTTAATTGCCTAACCCTCTTCTTCTTCTCCAATAAACACTATACTAAAGCCAACAGCAAAGTTTCTTCACTGATTCAGGGTAAGCTTTGATTTTCCGATCTTATGGGACCCAACTCAACTCCCACTTTACCAAGTACAAACTACAATAACTCGAACTCCACTCTTTTACTGAAGCCTCCATCAAATCACTTCTACCAAGCCCACCTTCCAACCCAGCATCTCTCTTTAATCCAACAGCCTCGCCTTCTTCTAACTCCCTATCCCCATTCTTTTCATCTAAAACCAATTTGAAGTAGAGTCTGCACCTGTTGCTCCCAGCAAACTCCCTACAGCACCAGCCTCAACTAGGGTAACAGTGAAAAGATAAAACACTACCATTATACAAAATGAACTATTCTGAATAATCGATCAGAAAATATATGACCATATTGAAAGAACATACAAGTGATATTGTCACTTATAAGCCAATGCATCGAAATCAAATCAATGTCAAATCTCAAAAAGGATATCCTTGAACTTATAAAGAGAAAATTTTAAATTTCATTATTGCTCCATAGTGGTTTGACCTTGTCATTCTCAAGTAAATTCATAATTTCATATCATTCCTCAGATTGAATGGATCTTCTTGAAAATATTCTAATAGAAGTTACTTACATTGTCTAGTAAGGAACATTATTTCATGAATCCTAGTTGTTACTTTTATCTTGATTGTATTTTTCCTTGTCAAGGCAAGGAATGTACCTAAATAGTCATTGGACTTATTGAGTTCCACAATACATCATAGTTTTTCAAGGCGCCAAGGCAAGGTTCCGCAATAGGGGGGAACCTTGTTGCATTGTCTAGGTGATGGATTTTATTTTTTTGGAGCAAAAACCATTAATCCTAGGGCAATTCCTCAGGTTCCATAGCAAGCAGCAACCATATTTCACTGGTAATTGTCTATAATCTTCATAAAAACGTATAAACTTCATTTAAAACGGAGAAAATCAACATGTTCATGAAAAAAATGAAGAAAGAAAATAAAATTCAGAAAATGGAGGGGCTGAGCCCTTATTTTTGTCCCAGGAAAAGAAGAAAAAGAAAGGATGAAATAAGATAATTATCAATGTGTACACATTGTGAGCTCTGAGAAGCTCATGGCTGGCTCAAAGGAGTTGGAGTCGCCACCCATTTTTTTAGAGGAAATGAGCCCTCATTTTCAGGTTTGAAAAGTTTGATTTAAGTCTTTGATAGTGACTTTGTCCTCCATGGGAAGGGCACACGACCAAGCGGTTTCGGGTTCTAAGGATTGGGAGAGGGAAGGTATTAAGAACCCCTCTCTCCAAGCTGTTGTAGCAGCCCAATACGGGAGTTGTTCAGGCTCAAATTTTGGCAAAACACGAACTAACAAGATTGCTCAGAGCCCCTGAAATCTGGCAAAAATGTTCCCAACTTCGCCTAGAATTGATTTGAGGTGATGTTATCGGGTCTTAGGTACTAGTTTCCCTAAGACCCTTGCCTCTCTACCTCTTTTTCTCAGTTCGGAGGAAGTTGGGAATGCAAGTTTCTCAAGATTTCAGGGCTTTAAGCAACCTAAAACTAAACTAAAAGCAAAGATACGGTGGAATGAGAGGCTTACCTCTTGTGTTCGACCTTGAAACAATCTTTCTAGCAGCTGAAAGGACTTCAAATGAAACTTGAACAAGGCAGGAGCTAGACTGGGAGTTTCTGGTGTTGTGTCTGGAAAACAGAGGATGAGGCTTGAGCTTGGCTTCAAGGATTCTGGGATTTCAAGCAACCTGGGTGTGTTATAGGAGTTTGAAATCTCTCCTCTCTTCTTCTTCTCTTTTCTAGGGCCTTTCTTAGGTTTCCTTTCTTCCCTCTCTTCAGGTTGCCTCTCAGGTCCCCTTTCTTCAAGCTTGAGCTGGGCCTCTATTTATAGAGAAAATGGAAGGAGATGGGTCTGAAATTCGCTCAGCTACAATGTCTGTGACTGAGCAGAGTTCTTTCACTGAAATAGACAAAGATTCTTCAAAGAAATAGGTGCCCAGTGAAGCTTTTTTGTTTGGTGAAACATTTTCTTCGATTTGGGGGTGGTTTTCACGGGTTTTGTGCGTCCAATGGGAGCTTGGGGCGTGCCAGACGTCGCAGTCTCGTATTTAGGGCTGTCAGTGGCAGAAAATGTAAATTTGATGAACTTTTAAAAGCTATTTTGTCTTTTCTTGGTCTTAAGTAGGGGTCTGTTTGGTATTTTAAGCTTTTTGGGTCTATTAGGCTTTGTTTGATTAGTCCAGGTGTTCTAATGGGTCAAGAATGGGTTTGACATCAGCTATCACCCTTTTAAGGCTTCAGGTTGGGCCAGATGACATGACAATTTAATCTGGTACGTCAAAATGGTATATTCCTAGTTTAACGGTCAAATGAATGAGTCTGGTCATGAAATTTGGTGTCCTGGGGTTTTTTGGGTCTCTGAACATAGTGGTGAGGTCTGATCGGACAAATGGGGTCGAGATGATGGAGATTTATGGTTGACAAGTTCGGATTTACGAGATTTGCTGAAATAGAATCTTTATTTGATGAATGGTGAAATGGAGGAATTTTGGGATGAAATTTGGTGGGTTGTCACTTTTGGTCATCCTGAATCTAATGGAAGTGATGGATTTTTTATCAGGGATGCAGATTGATTGATTTAGTTCAGATCATGGTCTTAGCTTATGGTTTTCCAATCAATGATAGGGTTTGAAATGGAATTTTACTTTTTCAAGTCAAACGAGGTGTTTGGCCGTGAGATTTTCCATGCTAGGGTTTTTTGGGTTTTTGAACACAGTGGTAAGGTATGATTTGTCATGTGAAGTTGGGATGATGGATGGTAGGCTCTAATTAATGAGATTTGTTGGAATAGGATCTAGGCTTGATGGGGGGTTAAACGAGGGAATTTTGAGCTACAATTTGGTAGGTAGGCATGGATTAGGGTGAGGAGTCAAGTGGATAGTTCTGATCTGAGAAATATATGGTCGATCTTGGTAATCGTTCAGGGCCATCCAAATGGGATCTTGATGTTTTTGCGGTTGGTTGTTGAATATTCGTGGTGGGATTCGCTAGTTGATTAATTCCTAGTGATCTTGGGGTGATAGATATGTTGGATTTGATTTTGGAGGAGTTGGAATTTGGATATCGCATAGATCAGGGCCGTTAGAAAGGAAGTTAGCGTGACGAATGGTGGATCTTTAGAGTTTAGTTACGAAAGTTGATGTGTAACTAAGTTGTAGTTTTCCAAGTCTGGGAATGATGTCTAATCAAGGTTCTCATTTGTCTTGTGGATTGTGTCAAAGGAGGGTTTTCTCGGGTTTTGGAAGTCTCAAGTTGATCTGGTTGTGTTTCAAGTTTTTGGAGTACCAAAGAGGTAGGGTGAAGGGCGAGCAAAAATTGGGTGCTAACACATCCTTGTGCTTGGGAGGCTTACACCTCTTACGTTCTAAACTATGCCTCATGCCTCCAGGTAGTGGAATACCTCACAACACGCCTACATTTTAAAACATTGTTTTGAATACAATACACTTACTAAGCCAATATAATTAAAAAAAAAAAAGAAACAAGCCGGCAATTATGCAAGAGGATTTTGAGTCTAATTAGAACATATCTATACTACTATTAAAAGTGTGAATGGTAGTGTGGAGCCTTTGTTTGACTAAATACCCTAATTTTTGAATTTGGTCCTTCTCTAATTGTAAGGACAGAAGTGTAATTTGAACAACCACTTTTCTCCTCATTCAATTTAATGATATAAAAAAAATTGAATGAGAAGAAGAAGAATTAAAGAAGAGATTAGAGAAGAGATTAAAAACTGAGATGATTCAAGACTTCAAGTGTGAAACTGTGAATGACTGAAGGGAGGAGAAGAGTAGGGTGGAGCCCCTGTTTTTTTCAAAAAAAAAAAGGGACTCATGGGGCGGACTGACGACTGAGAGAGTGAGAGTGACTGACTGAGAACACCACTCATGGGGTGGGTGGAGTATAGGGGCGGAGCCCTTGTTTTTTTGAAAAAAAACAAAAAAGAAAAGGACTGGTGAGCCCCTGTTTTTTTGACTGAATTGATATCTAAGAAGAGAAAGGAGGAGGAGGAGAAGAAGAAGAAAGGGAGGACTGGCGGAGCCTCTGTTTTTCGAAAAAAAAAGTAAAAAAATGCTGATATCTAAGAAGAAGAAGAAGAAGAAGAAGAAGAAGAAGAAGAAGAAGTGGAGAAAGGGAGGACTGAGGAGTATAGGGGCGGAGCCCTTGTTTTTTCGAAAAAAAAAAAAAAAGAAAAGGACTGGCGAGCCCCTGTTTTTTCGACTGAACTGATATCTAAGAAGAGAAAGGAGGAGGGGGAGGAGAAGAAGAAGAAGAAAGGGAGGACTGGGAGCCTCTGTTTTTCGAAAAAAAAAGTAAAAAATGTTGAAACTCCTAAATCTGAAGAAGAAGAAGAAGAAGTACCTGCTCGAACTAAGGTGTGTTGGACGGTTTTTGTATACCCTTAGCTTCAATCAATTTTTGATGTACTTTTGATATTTAATGTAAATAAATAAAGTACATGTTTGAYTCATKTTGTGTRSTATGCTTCTGYGTAAGACCCTAAAACTAGACACTTAATGAGACTTGTGTTAGTTTTAAATGTTCACAGCC